ACACCTAGGTCCTTCACGGAGGGTGTGGGATATAGCGTTTGGCCGTCAAGGGTGTAGGTTCGGCCGTTAGCACCCTTCCCCAGGCTTATAAATACCGACTTGGCTGGGTTGACAGGGAGAAGAACTTCTACAGACCATGTGGATAAGCGGTTGAGATCTTGCAGAAATAGGCCACAGTCATCGGGAGCGTCGATTTCTCTCCAAATCTTCATGTCGTCCGCAAACAAGGCACACGGTGACTGGAGAAGCTGCGGTAGATCGTTGATGTGGATCAGGAACAGAGTGGGTCCCATCAGAGTGCCTTGAGGCACGCCACTTGTAGAGGGGTACCAGTCAGTTAGATGATCGTCGACCTGTACCCTCCACTTTCGTCCAACAAGAAAGTCGCGGATCCACCGGTGCAGTGAGCCACCGACGCCACACATGCTGAGTTTGTGAAGGAGAACCTCATGACTAACCTTGTCGAACGCTTTACTGAAATCGATGAATATCACGTCGACGGATTTCCCCTTGTTTATTGCCTTCAACCACTCATGCCTCGTCACAAGTAGGTTCGTAATGCATGAGCGACCTTGCATAAAACCGTGCTGTGCGGGCGTCAGGACCTCGTTTGACTGTATCAACTGCAGCAATCTCTTCTTCACGATTTTCTCAGCAACCTTTGCCAAAATAGGTGTCAGACAAATTGGCTTGTAATTGTCTACTTTGCTAGGGTCGCCGCCTTTCGGAATAGGCTTCACCACCGCACTCTTTTAGTCAACCGGCAACGAGCCTTCGGACAGCGACCTGTTGAAAAGTTCAGTCACGACAGGAGAGAGGATGGTTGAAAGTGACTTGAGAACCAGTGGGTGAAGCCCATCAGGTCCGGCAGGTTTGGTGCCGTCAAGGTTGGCGAGTCGTTGAGCTACCTCTTCGACGCCGCAATGCAGACTATCGAGTTCGGTAAAAGCGGTACACGTCGAACTCGGAACAGACACATGGTTATTCGCAAATACCAGAGCGAAGAGCACCGCCAACGCGGACTCACCCTTAGTGCTGGAGGTTAGGGGCTGTCCATCCGTGCCATCCAGCACTGGCACATCACCCGCCCGCTTCAGGCGTCGCTTCAAGTATGTAAAGATTCTCTTTGGGGCGGTCTCCGCGGCTAATGCGAGCTGCTCTTCAAAGTGTCGGCGTTTATTCTTGTTTGCACTGTTACAGAGGTTCCGCTGACATTTATACATTTCGTAATCATTGGCAGAGCCAGAGAGAAGGAAGTTGTCCCACAACCTGCGCCGCCTCCGAGCCAGGTTTCCATACTCCTTATCAAACTAATGAGGCTTAATATGTCCAACCTTACGGTATTGCAATAGCACAAATTGGGAACACAATAATGTCAATCTCTCTTTCATAAATATCCAACAATATTCCACAGATGTAGCTTGTGACAGAGACCAATCCAGTTGGCTCGCGGCTCAAGCAAGACCATCGAAGTCCGTTTCCCAGTAGTTGGGAGCTGGTTGCAGCGGGTGTGAATACGGCAAAGATAATTCCATATCAGCTATCAGTACTGAGTGGTTGCTCGTAGCCAGGGGCTCCAGGATCCTAACATCACGCACTCGTTTTTCGCAGCTCGTTAACATCAGGTCGAGACAGGACGAGGTTGAACGTTTTGATATGCGTGTTGGCTGGCATATGTGTTGCGTTACGCCAGTTTCAAGTAACAAATCCACGAACTTTGCTTCAACCTCACTATGTCCAGGCATCAAATGCACATCACGCCATCGGATTCGAGGACAGTTAAAATCGCCCATAAGCAGAATTTGTGGACGACTCATGTGGGTCCGAAGAATGGGCAGCCAATCCAAACAACGACTCAGGGGACTGCGATAAACTGCGCCCACAAGCAGATCTCTGCGCTTAAGGCGGATTGAGCACCACAGTAGCTCACACAGGCCATCGTCACTTCGGTAAGTGCTCACAAGTCTCCCACGCAGGGAAGACCGGATGTAAAGTAAGACACCACCGTGGGCATTCTTTAGTCTATCGCATCGGAAACACGAGTAACCGTTGAGTTCAAGTTCTTGGGTGTATAACTCTGCATGTAGTCATGTCTCTGCGAGTCCCACTACGTCTGGCCGCTCAGACGCAACGAAACAACAAAGCTCATCGCGCTTATTCATAACACTGCAAAAGATTGTGAAGGCTATTCGCAGGCCGCAGCAGGAGCCACCGGGCGTGCTTGAAGTGTGAACAGCCTGTTTATCCTGATTCGCGGATTGTTGGAAACCACCCGAAAATTTACAATACGAAGATTCGTTTCCCCCTCACCAGTGCGTCTTTTCAACTCACTGATGGCAGACTTGAGCCGCTCTCTGTCTACTGGGTCCAGGTCAGGACTAACATTGATTTTCAAACATTTCAGTCTAGTTAGGCGAGACATGATCAGTCTTGGACTGGCTTCGTCCACAAAAGTGATTCTCATAGGCCGATTTTGTTGATCACCTTGCTTTCCAAGACGGGTAATCTGCCTCACTTTTACCGAGTCTTCACCAGCGTCGAGTAGTCTATCAATTAGACCCTGTAACAACTCGACATCGTGATCGTAGCGCACTTGGGGTGATGGATCACTGGACTCCGGTGCGTGAAATAGCACGAGATTATAACGCCTCTGGTCGGACGAGGTTAGCCTTGCAGTGCGAAGTATACTACCAGCCTCAAGTGGTTTGGCTAACTGTTGACTTACAGAACGTAAACGCCCAACGTTCCTTCGTAATTTCGTCCTCTGATCTTTCCACTGGTCTTCAGCACTCAGACTTTCACCTGCTGGGACATTAGCGTTCGGTGGACACAACAAAGGTAAACAATTTAGCCCAGGTTAAACTGGGCTTCTCACAACGGTTGGACTTCGTGTCAGTGAGTTTGCACGGATAGAGGAGGACGACTGAGCCGAAACCTGAAGGCGCTTCGCGCTGGGTTGTTGGGCCAAACACAGGGAGCTGTTCGCAACGAAACGCTGAGGACTACACGTCGGCTTTTCCCTTTCTGGCTGTATCTGATTTCGGCAATTTTCGCATATAGTTTGGACGAAATCGTGTTGGATCTCGCGAAGACGATGAAAATGCTCAACTGATAATCCAGCACATGAAACGTGGTATTTAACTTGACACAATGCACACGTGAGGGCATTTGCACGGTATCCGACTAGTTTGGAGCAAGTACCACAGGATGAGTGCTTCGGCATTGCGAAGTATCCGAAAACAAGATGGCGGCCAATTGACGAGGAAAGTGGCGATAGCAAGATCGCCGAAACCAAGCGATGAAATACAAGTATTTCTGGTTGGAAATTGCAGAATCGGAAATGAAATTGAATTGTAGCTCAATTTCCACGAAATACTTCCAATGAACGCAGAAAGATAACATAAAGTGATCTTGTCAACACAGTCAAAATTAACCGACCGGAGGACGCTATCCGCAGTTAACAGCATGATTGATTGTTTGATTGAATGTTTGCTTATTCTACAGAACACATGCGAAGAACCAGGCGGTACTATCGCCTTAGTGCGTGTTGGTTAATGTGGCCATAGAGCTTTGATAATATATAGATTAAAATAGATTTTTTGTCTGATTCATTCCAGAGCGCTAAACCCCACACAAAAGAGCGATCCTGGTCCTCTGCCCAACCGATTGATTTCAATGACCCTCGGATGCAGTGGAAACACGCCATGAGTCAGTCTATTCACACAAATGTATCCCGACATGTAGTTAAGAGCAATGTATTACTCCTCTTTCATCCAGGGGTGGCAAGATCACAGAGGCTGCTGGTCAATTTTCTGTCAGCTACCAACAACATGGGCCAAGGAAAACTATAAGGAACTCCTATATATATATATATACATTTAAAGGCACCCGATTCCAGGTTAACCCCTCAAAGCGGGCTCCAGAGGAAAAATGAAACGTTTGTACCTACAGAGGAACGTGGGGTGGACTGCGTGCAATAATCAATGTGCAAAAGAAGGAAAAGTAGCGGTGTGTATATGATGGGTGCATTATTTCATCAACGAAGTCAACTCATATACTTCGCCAAGCACAGCAACAACAGCATCAGCAACAGCGGCAGATTTTCTGTCTAACTAATTAGGGAAGCAGTCATATCAGACGTACACATGATGGTGGATGGCCTGTTACCTACCCCACACTGGATGGAAGCAGTCTTTAGGCTTAGCACAATCAAGAGGACTTTAAACCACTTCTCTACAACAACGATCAATTGTCAGTATAATCAAGGTGGCGGTACTTTCCAGTATCCATATTACTAACTTGCACATAAAGCGTATCCGTACCTGATATATCAGATTACAAACACACAATATACAAAAACGTAAGCACTCAGACCGGACAGTCAATGTGCGTCAACGCACAAAACTAATCAATACATATTTGTACGCTTTAGATCTGGTATTAGAGTGAGCTCAGTCAAGTATACTTGTAAGTTAATGCATATGAAGCAAAGAACACATAAAGTACAGAAAAACAAGCAAAGTGAACAGCGTGTGTGCGGATGATCAACAGAGCCGATCAAAGAAAACAAAATTGATTCAGTTAAATCTAGTGTACTTTGGAGAAAACGACGGTGTACTCTTCTCTGCCCTAACTGCGGTGAAGAATAAGCACTGCAACATCGACCAAATCAAGGATCTCCATATATATAATGCATATATTACATAGGTTGTAATGTCCTGCTCCAATGGGCTGCACTCGTGACTAATTTTACCACATAAACTAGCTATCTAAAATGTTAAATTCTGCTTCTTCTTCGCGAACAAACAATAAAACTTGTCAAATAATTATCTAAGCAAATCTGGTACCATAAACAATACCAAAACTCAGCGTTATTTTTAGGAAACGTAAAGGTGTGTGACAATAACACAACAACATAACTACTTCAATTAAAGTGTGTTAAACATATTCTATCAGAATTGTTGTCATTGGCATCATTGTTTGCTTGTTTCATCTTTTAGGAAGTCGGAAGCATCATCGGAAAGGTATGTTTTGTCATTGCTTTCTATGGACATTGATAGACTTTCATCCCAAATTTTATTTATATTTATATCCCACAGTGAGCGAAGTAGCTCAATTTAAATGTTTAAGCTTACCAGTAAAATTATGTTAAATTGTAAACATGGTAGTTTTTATAAGGATGTTTGCAGAACAGACGTTGGTACAGATTATGCAGGAATACGTGCTAACTTGGAGGATTAGGATCTGAAGAATAAATATAATAGAATAATGATTAATATTGATAAATCTCCTATGTTGCAAGGAGTACTGGTAGGAAAGCTAAGTTTCTCGGAGACTATTAGATAGAAATAAACTGTGAGAAATTTTAGTTATTGTACAAAGATTATTTTGAACCTTTCGTAGAGAAATAATGGGATAATAAAATGTACTACTGTCGTTTGTTCAGCGCTAACCTAAGCACAATTAGTAGATGTTTCTTCACTCATAACCGTCCAACATTACCACAATCATTTCAAAACTGGTTGTTATAGTTCATAACAAATGGTAACAAATAATGTGGCGTTTCATTGCCTTAAACATGGCTAGATCAAAACCAGGCTAAATTTATTTCCGTGGTCCATTGTCAACTTAAGTTTCACTCGTCGTGGCGACAGATGTCGATATATGGTGGAACCAGCATTTGTTTGGGACTAATTTCATTAAGAAACGAACTTTCAACTTTAGTATGCGTGCCTTACAGAATCAGTGCACACTTACAATCCAGGTTTTATACATAGAGAGTTTTATTAGCTTGTTCCCTAAGGAACCAAAGGCACTAATCACGAATAGGCATTTTTTAGCAATATTGATCGTTAATTGAGGCGACATATATATCCAAAGCCATCGCTTGTTTTCGCAAATTGAATTCGGTAGGCTGACACAAAAGAAAAGATACCGTACAGCTTAAAATCATTGTTTGTCCTGTGTAGCGTTGTGATTGTGTAAGTCACTTTTAGAGAAGAACACAACAATGCCGAACTACAGTAAACTTGAAGAAGTTTTGATTCACTCTATTTGCAGATACCATTATAATGACATCTATATGACTAAATGTTTTCTTTTATTCTCTACGTGCCGCACGTACGAAAAATAGCACGATCATTTGCTCGTAAATCTATCCTAAAAATTGGACAGTGGCAATGTCCGAGAGAGTGTTCATAGTAAGACAGCTCGGACTTAACACAATGTATTCGCTGCTTATGAAGTCGGACAAAAATCCTGTTGCTGGGCACTAAAAGCAGCTGCCAGCTAAAACGGCCTTTTATTATACGCCGATATTAACCCACTATTGTATTCTTTTATTCGAACGGTGTAAATGTTATTAAACTGCAACATGGTTTTTTAGAACAACAGCAAACAAAGCGAGAACGAGTAAGATAATATTTCGGATAACTTCATTCGGGCATAAGTACCTTTGTACGTAAAATATTGGACAACACCATATATATAAAGGATAATGAGTCGTAGGTAACAAGATTTGTATCAAATAGATGCGTTAACTAAATCAGTTTAACAGCGGTATCTAACTAAAACGTGTTTTATCAACCCATGTTTAGCGCGGAGAAAATGTGAAGAAATACCGGGAAGAAGTGAGTACTATTCACATCATTCTCCTTCAAAGTATTAATAATTTAATTAAGTTTGCAATTTGTCTTTTTAGACTGTGATGGTATTATAAAACTTTTATGAAAAAGAAAGTAACTTTTGTCCAAATTTTTTTACAATAAACCAATCGGCTTCTTAGAAAAAGGTCAATCTATTGAGTGCTTGCTGGTTTCTATTCCAAATAATCAGCAGAAAGTTGTCGTGGAATAAATATTGAGTGCCTCCTCAGATGATTATTTTAGGTTCATTGAGCTAATGTAGAGCGCAGCTAGGGTAGGTGTGAAATAGTTCTAGCGATAAAGAAGTTTATGTGTAGCTTACCGACTGCAAGTATGTGAGCAAAAACATGTCTGAATTAGTGGGTTAGGCCATAAACGTAAGCTGCTACCTAATATTTAACATTTAATATTTAATAAAAGCAGCTCAGTTTTACGCCAATATTCCAGAGCTGTTTATTGGTGAATTGCACGCTTGTTATGAAACAATGAGATTCTTTAAGGGATTTCTTTCACTTTGTTAAGTTTGGTATGTTAACAATATAGTACTTTTACAGAAAGGGGGCAATTATTTCTCAGCAAATCGTTTCAAAATAGCTACCGCAAAATGTAGTCTGTTTGTGCTATTTAATTTATAAGTTAACATTTAGCAGTCCCTATGTTTAGATATTACATCCCCACAATATTATCACATTTATTTTACCAGCACCTTTAAGAACCATTTTTCAGTTAATTATGATTAAATGAAATAATCGTTAATCCGGTTATATCACCAGCAATCACCCTGTGGAGCACAATTGTCTTCTCCGTGTTCAACTTGATATAGTACAAGTAGGAGTTAAAGGAACAAAAATAAAAAATAAGCATTTATAAGCTGTACTATGAAACCCATTATCAAAGCCAATCAAAGCGTGAAAGCTATAAATTCAAAGTGGGAATTCTTTTGCTACGAACTATCCTTTTCGTTAAAATTATGGAACCACATTTACAACAGTAATAATTATGTAATATAAAAAATAATAAATAAAACATAAACTTGTAGGTTTTTAGATTCGCCGCTTTAATATAAAGTGCATCTTATAGAAAGTTTCAAAAAATTGCATGTTATTTTGTTTTTGTTTTTATGGTCATGAGAACAAGGCACTGAGCTCGTTTATTTGTATTATTTCTGGCCTTTCTTAAATTTTCTCCGATTAATTTTCAAGAAAAGCGGCAGTAATATATGCTTGGAGTAAAATTCCGCAGCTAAGTCGTCATAGGTTACATAGTGAACCAGTTAGTTGCATGCAGTTTCCAGGCTTATGATTCCTTAGATAAAGGCGGGTTGCTATGTTCTCTGATCAAATCGCCGAGTTATTTTTCTATTGGGATATACAGTTTTTAATTTTAGCTTAAGCTTCAAAGCCTTAACTGCGTTCGTAATATCGTGCTTGTTGTAGTCCTTTTCGATGGTAAAAAGATGGCTTCTTCCTGCCATTGTTAAAATGTGGGAGAATTTGTTTTTGAAGTAATGGGACGATGGATGCAGCATTATATTTATAAATATAATAGAAGCACTCTTGCTAGTTTGGCACTTAGAGGGTCTCAACATGCAGACGTAAAAAATGCACATGTAGTCTTTTGCTTCCCAATAAATTCTATGGAAAGCTAAGTTATGTTTTGCTGTTTTCCTGTGTGCCTGCCTGCACAGAGAACAAAATACACACTGCAAAATATGATGCAAATTATCAACTGGAGCGTCACATCTACAATATATTCCATATTCCTGTTTTCCGTAATCTTTTTAAATGTGCAAGTGCAGCTCATTCGTATATATATTGTATATTTGTAACAACAAAAGTGCTTTTTAGAATGCCTTATTGACCATTGATGGCATAGGTAGAAATTCGTCACATCTAGACTCACTCAGACAGCTGCCACACGTCCGGAAATGTACTGTACGCGCTCTTCATCCTTTCGGGAATCATTAGCAGTGCGCATTCCATCAGACCCTTGGTAGGGCTTGAACCAGCAACACGAATGTTTTCAGTCCGTGGTTGAGACCATTGAGCACTGCACGGCAGTAACGTGTAAGTCATTGGATAGTGAGCGGCGCTATATACCATCTAGTAACTTATTCACGATGGTTGTTGCCGTCCCCCGTAGCTAATTGGTCTCAACCACGGACTGGCAACAGTCGAGTTGCGGGTTCGAGCCCTACCAAGGATCCGATGGAGTGCGCACTGATAATGATTCCCGAAAGGATGAAACGCGTGTACAGTGGTTTTCCGGGAGTGTGGCGGCTGTCTGAGTAAATCTAGATGTAACGAATTTCTACCCATACCATTCAACTTCCCCTACTACTCTTCTGTAAGCACTGATGACAGTGTTCAGAAATTTCACTGGTACGACTAAACTGCCTATAAATAAACGTTAACGCATTGGAAGCAATCTAAGAATGCACAAATGAATCCTGGTTGTCCTAGAAAGTTCTATTGTTCTTGATTCTATAGAATATTCCCTAATCGATAATTGTGACTATGTTATGGGAATATAATAAAAGTAACTTATTATTGCAAAATCATTATCTTAACTACAAACATAATTCAAATCTATTCTATTTTGGCTAAAACAATATATATTGAGAAAACACTTGTTGGTTTTGATCAATCTAAGTTTCGTTTCCTCATAATATCTGAAGACAAACGAACTAGTTTTCAAGAAATAATTTGCACAGTGACCAATATGAGCGGAATTCTTGCCTGTTCTTCAGACATAAAGCGGCGCCAGTATTTAAATTAGATTTAAGGAACCATGTTTTTATATGTCTCACGCATTGCACGCATGCATGTGTAAAGCGTAATAAACATTTAACGAAAATTTATTGATCTGCATGGCTTAGCAACTATAAAAAATAACACACAAAATAGTGTCTAATTTCACGCTTGCTAAACCCAAAAGAAACACAAGTTATGCTTGAGCAATTGTGAGAATTTGGACGCTTTCACTGTGACCCATATCTATGTTATTTTTATTGCGCTTCCAATTCAGCTGCTAAGATTTATTAACCAGTACATCGACTCATGACAAAAGTGGTAAAACACTTCTGTGCTTGGAAAGATAGATGAATTCCTTGGTTATTATCGCGGTTAACTTGGCGTTCATTCACGTACTTTTCTCTTAAATTAATAAATTTAGGCTCAGGGTTGTACAACTGTTGGCTGTCTGAATAATCATCAGACTTCTGGTTATTTTATATAAAACGCAATTAAAATAAATAGTTAGATGTATTTAATCACAATAATTTACTTGTAAAGCAATTTTCCAATTACATTTAGATAAATTGCAGTAATGCTGAATAACTTTTATCCCAACTACTTTTAGCAAGTATAGGATACACAGCTCTGCATATTTAGGAAATTGGTTGAATATTTTATCGGTAGAAAAGAAGTTGCAGTTTATGGGTATATATAGCTTAGAAATTGGCGGGATTTGCGTGAATTCATGTTTCTAAATATGCTTCGTACTTCTTCATTAGTAACTAATATGGCGCTATTCGCTGCCAGTCATATGAGCTCAGTCAGTTGTGACAAACTTGGAGACAAGAATGTGCAACAACACTGTAGGAAATACTGCTTTGTGAGTTTTTCCTAAAGAGCATCTCAAACGTAGCTATATTACTCAAATGTTGAAAATACTGTTCAAGTAAGACTTTTGCAAAAGGTTGCTAACCTTGTTAACGTCACTCACAATTAAATGAACGATCAAGCGGTAGAAATTGATTTTTAAACACTGAAGGCCTACGTAGTGCGCAGTGCGTTGCTGACTCTTATACAAAATTACTGTAATTATGTTTCATAAAACATAGAATCATTGTCATCAACGACGCGTTAAACTAGAGGAGGCGCATCACGCTATACAGGATGGTAATTTAAATATTGCCAAGTTGCACATCTTGCTTTTGAAAGCAAAATAAAAATATTGAGTTATGGGTTAGTCTACTTTTATGATTGATACGAAAGTAACAATATACTACTGCAGGTTGTTACCGTTTTCTTTAAATTAACGTGATAAGTTAAACTTCTACGGTGCTATCAACCAAGTTGCAGCATTTTTGTCAACATTCATTTACTTCGTGATCCAGGGTATAATGAATTTCATGAATGCGGTGTATTAATAGGCAGTAGATGCTTCTGAATTTATACAACTTACTCTTGGTTGTAATTTGTATTTAGCTAAATCCTACACTCTGCGAACATTGATAAGGTAATTAATTTGTCATGATGTGGGGCGAACGCATTATGGCAGCACCGACACCAGAGTTCCGATGGTGTACAAGACTTTCTTGCCACTGACATTATCAATGATCGTAGCTGTTCATGATTATAATCAGCGAACATGTCAGTACTGGTAATTACTAAATTCCGGAAAAGATATTCGGACGCAAATACAGTAAACTTTTATAAAAGTTTGCTCATGCAACAGTTGTCCAATTAATTCGTAGGAATGCTCCGTAGTTGTTGTGCACTTTTCACTGTCGTCGGTAATTAGTTGTTAATTTTACATTCATACGCAATGCTGAAAACCAACGTGCTTTATGAATATTCACATGTTATTTTTGCCAGGAGCTTGTGTAGTATTCAAACATTAATCGATTTCCCAATATTCGTTCATTTATTGCCTTGTTGCTCCCATATGTAACAGGGATCCACGCCGCATTATTATAATAATTCTTACAACCAACCAAAGAAACCTGAAAATTTCGGCTATCACTGAAAAGTTGCAAAATTATTTATTTTAACGTCATTAAGACAAACTGTTTTTGATCTGAAACACTTCATTTAAGTAGCGCATAAATCGTTAATTGCTTAAATGGTCAAGTGCTCAACATCCAACAATACCAATAAGAGGTGTATCAGCTTTCTACTCTTATTATAATTGTTGCGAAAATAGTGGTTGCTATTTTCCTTAAACACAGTAGAATATTTTATAAGGTTATATTTTACACTTTTATCCGTGAATTATGGTGATTAAAATGGTTAATATTTTAGATTTTCCAAAATTTATCGTGAAGAAATTATATAGATGACTTTGCCTCTGTTTTAGTGATCCAATGGGTCATGGCAGATATTGCTTAAAATTAAAATCATGTTGAATAAAGTTAAATAGTGAGCAACCTCAGGTATTCTACATATGGAAGGGCACGTTTGCGCATTCGTCGAAACTGCTTTTCACGGCTTATTAAAACAGCGTATGCCTTTCCACCCTGAGAACTACCGGCGAACTGGTCAATAGTTTCACTGCCTCTCATCAAGATATGGTTCATACTGAAGTCTATATCTGGTTTACATTTTCGTTTGCGATTTTTATGAAATACGCTTTCTATCTCCATGTAGAATGCAACCCAGAAGTACGGAGCTTAATAACCTATGTTAAATGAAACTGCTTACGGAAAAAACAAATCCACAGGTTAAATAGTAGTAAGCGGCTTGTAGATTTCTACAAACCTGAAATTTGCTAGCTTTTCCCTAATGTTATTATTGCTTACGTTTAATCACGAAAACACCATGGAACATATAACATGTAGCCAAATATGAAAGATGTAATAATTAGCTAGTGTCAAAAAATTCTATAAATATCGTAGCGCGCTTGTATTTTGCCATCATATCTTTCAAGCCAAACATTTTGACTGCACCAACTCACAATTAAGTACCCACTATACCTTGTCCAAAATTCGCATCTACCATATTTTGCATGTGTACCACAATGAAGTAATCACGTACAAATAACGCAATCATTGCTGACCATGGCATATTACCACATTAAAACACTGCCGTAATTCCGATTCCAATGCACGCGAGATATTACCTTCTAGAAAACGTTCGGCAGAAATTCATGGTGTAGAATTAATACTATTCGTTGGCTTTACTAAACAAGCTGCATGTTCAGTAAACTTATTTTTCTTAACTAAATCTACTGGAATATCTAGAACTCAGCACATTCATTAAATCTATTGCAGAGTGGGGCCAGGATAAACATTTCGGATGGATCCAGCCCGGAACGAATTGTGACGGTGATAGGGACCATGGAGCAAATATTTGCTGCTTTCAGCTTTATGAGTCAAAAATTTGAAGATGTAAGCTACAGTTGTGTTATAGTATATGACGTCTCCTTTTAACAAAATGTATTAATTCCGTCAGCGCACTTGCCAGCGAAAATGGATTATATGCAACTTTCATTTAGCATCTAAACGTATGCGTTGCCATCATGTGTCTAATACCCAACAGCCCAGGTTCAACTGAAGCGTATACGCTTATTTGCGATCCAGGTACATCTTTCTGTATGTTTATGCACCATCAGTTATTGGGCACAGCCTCTCCAATTCACCTTGACCACCGTACATGTGTGAAACTGACATGGAGATAACATGATGCATGTTCTCATCTAATACGTAGAGCAGACTAAATGAAAAAACTGTAAATATGTTGATCTTTCCCTATGTGTGGATAGTCCCAAGCATCGTCGACAAATAAAAGCTTTATTTTTATATATATTTAAATATAGGATGCCTTCTGATAAAGGAACCACGAAAAGTTTCTTGCCCGACAATTTTCAAGTACCTCTAGTTCATTAACTTGAAAACACGAGCTTGATCTTGTTAACATCTGAAAGATATCCTCATTTATCCATAGCTCCCGAGGCGCGAATATACAAAAAATTACTGGTTACAATAAATTTATATAGTTTTTCATTTTTGTGAATCACGAAGGAGTATATTAGAAGTACAATTAACTATTTATGTGTCTTTAAGATACGTTTCTCTTGCGTAAAGTACCCTGAGCTGATTGGCCTAACGGCATTTCTATCTGCATAATGATAAAAGTAATTAATGTTCTCCTTTTTGTTAAATTATTCATGTAATGTACTTTGATTTACTGGTAATATGACTTCATTTAGGATTTTGCACAAGGATTACTGCCTACAGGAGATGAAGGTCTGACATGCCCACCGGTCACCCTTCGACTTTTGGTACCAGCTTTCCAGTGTGGCTCTATTATCGGGAAAGGAGGATGCCGCATCAAAGACGTAAGAGAAGTAAGTGGTAACCCGTGAGAACCAAAGAGTATCAAACAAGTTGTGATTGATTTATGAGAGTTATATTTTACATAAACTATCAAGCCATATTTGGTTAACTGTGTATATCAGGTATATCGTGTGCATTGCGGAAAATAGTGGGCATTTACGGGGTGCTTTCATAGGAAATTCTGCGACTGGTGATGCGAATTGGACAAATTATAAAATGCCCTAGTGGCCTACTTTTCGCCTTAAGCAGCGGTTTGGCGTATGACGCAAATCACCTGGCTTGTAGTAATATGGTGTGTTAATTTTGCTATTAAACAATCGTTTCTAAGTCTAACTACAATGTTGAACTACATAAATTTTCAGGATAAATATACGCTTGAGCTTGCGCAAGCTATATTAGTTAATAAGTGATAAACCTGAATGCCTTAACTAGTAATGCTTCCCAATTATGTAAACCATGCTTTATTCATTCAGAAAACAAAATATTAATGTACCATAATTGCTGTATTGCAGGTTTGCCAAACTTTGTATTAGGCCCACAAAAATGAGATAAATTAGGAATGTTTGCGACTGTGGATAGCAGTAAATATAATGCTTTTTTCGGCGCTCAAAGACTAACTAGCTAACTTGGTGACAGTGAACTAATGACTTTCTTTTGCTGCCTCCGGCTAAAAAGTATCGTAGACCATCCATAAAGTGCACTCTGTTTTTAAACGATTTAAACTATTATGTCGTCAATGAGGCAGCTACTTGATAAATGCATGATCATAAACCCACTAGTGACGAAGATTAAATGAAACTGTATATCATATGTTACCAAGTTCCTAGTTTCCGCTTGCTTTTGAGAAAGTAACTTGAGCTTGATCATTCAAAGACCTAAAGATTTAGTGGCTTGATTATAACCGTGTAACAACGATGTGAACAAGAGTCATGGAGAGGTTAACCTAATCTTCGTCAAAGTGCGAAATAGTTAGGTAGTCATATTTTTGTTTGAACGTAATCCTTGAAAGTTAGTTGCTAATAAAGCTACTCAGTTCTTGCAGATCATAAAGCTGTTTCACTTTGTGATTGAATTTTTGGCTTTATCCACTATATCTATACCGGAAAACTTTTAATCGAATTTCCGATGAATGTTAATTACCAATTTTACTGTCATTATTTAAAAGCTTGATAAGTTGGTAGACATTCCACTTGAATGCAATTAAGTACTTGTTCTTATTGGACGAAATGATGATAGCTGCTTTAATATTACCAATTATTGTGACACTTATGTCAGCGTAAATACTGCAAGACGACTAATTACGTTACGCTGCGCATATTGTTTTGTTCTATTATAAAATAGCTTCATAATTTTGCGGCATTAATGCTACAGCAATCTTGTCTTAAAGTATCGTAGAAATTACCTTTTAAATCCATCAGAAAACATAAGAAACAATTGAATTTAGATAGCGTAAACAGACGCAAGATTGACAGCCATAGATTCCGTGATATGCTGCAAGAGAATATTATATGAAATACGCAAAATCCGTATGTAAGTAGAAGTGATTACACAGTGATCTCTTTTCAGCAAGTGATCTCACGTTTCCAAGGATAAATGTGAGGTACACAACCTGAATAAAGCTGAGGTGAAAAAGTTTGCCAGTCTGAAATTGATCATTTTTTGTACGGATACCACTACTCGGCTCAGAATGAGGAGCCTATCAGCCGATTCCGTAGTTTTTCCTTCCGAAAATATACTCATTTGCCAAAACAACCACCAGACATTTTCAAGTTTTAAATAAGTATGGAAAGATTGCTGCCAGCATTGTATAGTTAGCACGTTAAAATGCTTATTCAGAAATGGAACAAGTGCCCGCTTCTTCTTGCAACAACTTACGCAGCAATATCGCAACGCAAAGAGTAAAATAATATGCGACTCAACAAACTGCTTAAGACATAAAGATGATAATTAACGGCATGGTGGATCTCAGGAAGGCTACTAGCAAATATGAGATATATTTATGTATGAAATACAGCAACAAATGAATAACATTAATGTATGTTTGACGCGATCACTTTAACATATGTTGTTTGCTATATATTAATATTTTATATATTTTGCTGCACAATATTGGCACATAGTTTTTAAATAAAATTACTTTTTAATTTCCAATATTGTTTCTTGACTCCTAGTGTAGCCAATGTTTTGCTTGTATTCAATGTTAATAGATGCATTTGCGTCAATTTTTGAATGTAGTACTCATTATTTATTAATCAGGGATGGATATACATGGATTATTCTAAATGCTTTGTTTGCTCATTTGCAGAAAAGGAGTTATGTCTATTAAAAATTATTTTAAACTTTATACAAATTTTCCTAGCACACGGTAATACTGGTCAAAAGCGTGCAGCTTTATCCAACCTAACATAGAAAATATCCAAAAATGTAATAACGACAACCTGGTACATAAATAACGATGGTATTCAGTTTAAAGATTAAATTTTGTAGTGGAGTCTTTAGCACGAAACTAATGGTGCCAGAGCAGGTTGCAGCGCTTTAGACTACTTCCACCAACCAGCGTTGATGTGCTTTGTGTTAGATAGTCTGTTTTTCGTTTAAATATATTATCCTAAATGTACTTAAATTTGGAACAGTTTATGAGCTGCTAATTGGTGATACTGCTTGCGTCTGGATTCAATGGCGACATAGATTGGAAACAACTGACATTAAGTATATCTAGCAAAATGCTCATTAATTGGGCAGTAGTGATTGTTACTTACGCTCCAACTACTGAACAGCGTGGAAGAATGCAAAATAATTCATTTGTTGGGGCATATTTTGAGTGGAAAATGTTTGGAGCGTGATCATGCACCTTGATATTGATGACAGTGTCAGCTAAATGTTAGAGCACTACTGTAGAAGCTAAATGCGGGAATTCTATACATTGCGAAAGCGCTTAACAAAGCAAAAAATATCCACTAGCGTTAAATGGAAAATGAAGTTTGCACCGGTTTTAACATGACTACGTAGTCATTGTAATGGTGTATACTGATATCTTTAGTAAAAGGATGTTATTTAGTAAAAACTGTATTTGTATTTAGCTCTTTGTGAAGTAGGAAATAAAATTAAGCAATTTGTCTTGCAGTATATTGAAAATAATTAAATAGAAATTGTAACACCTTATAGTAAACCGTCCACCAATCAGTTAACATGGTGCAGATACTAAAACTAACTTAATTAACAAAAGCTGATTAAACAAAACCATGTAAATGCAAGCGGATTTAATCATCTTATTATTGTGATGCAGTGTAAAGCATGTAGAAGGGCTCAGAGGGGAAATCCAAAATGACTCCTTCGCATCACCATTGAAATAATTAGTAAAAGCTGCAGGTACATTTGAAACATTGGACGCTAAATGTCTCCCTCGGGGAACCTTTCCAAAAGCAGCAAAATGAGAAAAGAAATAAAAGAATTTTAGAGTATATATTGATGAAAAACAATATGTTTGACTTATAATTATTCTAAAACCTCTAAGTAATATAATAGATAAATTTAAAAGACTGCTTCAGATTACGTTTGGCTTACAACTCAAGCAGATAATAGCTAATTTATCCAGCATACGCATAATAAAATGGATTTCAGCCTTACCGCCCATTTAGTAATGCAAAATTTTCCTCTTCCTGACATACTGATTACAATCAATGTACACATACCTGTTAAGCGATTGGGCTCTACATTGTGTGACATGAAATGTACACGTTAACATAAACTTTTGGTTTTTTGTCAAATATATTGTTTGATCTTAACACTGTTATCGGCGATCCATTTAGTCTATGAAAACAATGTGACGGACTTTGTGTACTGTGCTTCAAGAAGTGTAAAGATTGTGTTTAGTTATTGCATGTTATAAGGAAAATCACCTTGTCGTCTAGTAAACGGCGAGCGAAAACAGCAGAGGCGCGATTACTTACCGTTCACCATCATCGACATCAACATGAACATCAAATTTGATAGTACCCACTTCAGGCGTAATCGAATGGTTAGGTTAGCAATCAGTTGCTTCTTGCATGCAACACTGCAGGTGTTTCAGTTGACCTATCACAAACCCTTGTAAAGCTTAGTTCGTGAGCCAGGCCGCGAATTATATCAACTAATTCGAGAAGGGGTTAAGTTAAATTATTGTTATTTAAGTTTGAAGTAAACAATGAGTCGCTTGTTGAAAGTCCTGTATATTTGGTTTGATCCGTGCGCTTTTTATGCTAGTTCATAAATATGGAAAAAGAAGCATCTTAACACACTTAAATGTAGGATAGATTTCGTTTCTCAGAATACGCTTTTTACGCATTGCTAAACCACGAAACGAATGAGTCACAGTATAAAGCATGTGTATTTGGTACTCCCCTATATGCGATTAAAATGGTGCACACAACCAAAAACAATTGATTCATATAGATTAATAACCGCAAACTTTTAAAAACCAAGGTATCAGACGTATACTACCGAAAACATTATTTAACCTTGGCATGTAAGCTCATGTTTTGAACCAATCTATAACACTTACTAATCGAAAGCAGTCCGTTGGCTCTGCACAAATAAGCCCTAATTATTTTCGCTGGATTATGATTAGTGGTTGGAAGCAGCAAGTATATTTTGCTCTGTGTAGCTACATCTAATATCACTCAGGGACAAAAACTCATCATATTGTGTTGCGCTTGATATTTTGCGTTGACAAAGCGTTTGTCAAGGAATTTCCTAAATTCCGACACCGACTTTATCTCAAATACTGCTGCGGCAACTCGTTCCTACATTCAGCACTCTGCGTTCGAAACAGCGTTAATAAACTACTCGCTTCAAATCCGGTACGACAAGCTTGTATCTATGTCCGCGTGTGCTACTTGGTGTGCGTGGATGAAGCAGCGCTCTCAGCATGGGTATTATCCAAATGTATATCCGGTCCGTCATGATAACTCGCAGTCGACCGTAACCCAGGGTACACAGCCCTAGTTTCTTATACAGGTCATCGTACTGCACA